TTCTCATCTCCAACTTCGTAAGGGCCGTCGTCGTACACTCCCAAGTCCAGTAGAGTGTTGTTCTTCTGCTCCACCCTCACGACGCCTGCAGACCAGGGAGGGAGCGAGCGAGCGAGCGGTGGTGGAGCGATGACAAGTGTTGACAAGAAATGTTTAGTTTAGGAGGAGATCACACAATTTGCTGTAACAGATGTATAAATTCCTGATTGTCAGTGATTGTGACGTTCCAGGCGGATTATTGACCTTTCCAGTTGTAAGCTCCTGGAGCTCCAAACACCACGTAGTGGTAGTCTTTGGTGAAGGTAGCAGCCAGACCCTGCTGACACGATCCAAACATCTCATGACCTCGGGCCCGGCCCTCACAGAAGTTCCAGTTGCCCCCGTCCTCGTCAGAGGACAGGTCAATGGTCAGGTCCTGACTCAGGACGTAGCAGCGGCCGGTGATGTCGCGAGACTCCTGGGGGGTGTTGACAAACAGACGCCTCTGGTAGCGATGGGCACAGGTCTGAAATGAGAGAACACAGCAACGCTGTGAGTTCACACTGTGACAGACAACGGATCAGAGCAGAGCAGAACTTAGAGTTGGACTCACCACGATCTTTCCTCCAGGTCCCTGACTCTGAACTGTCACTCCCATCCACTGATCCTCCTTGTTCTCATAACGTACATCCTCTTATGGAGCAAAAGTGCACAGGAAAGTTGTATGAGCAGAGTGGAGTTCTTAGGGCTTTCTGACATGATCATATAATGTATAATGGATGGATGGATGGTTGGATGGGAAAGTTCTAGGTGACAGAGACTGGTGGATAATAGACAGCTATTGTAGTGAAGTGTTGGTTTGACATATACTGTTGTTGTGTAGAGGAGGAAACGGATGGATGGATGGATGGATGGATGGCTGGACAGACAGGTGGCTGAATGGTTGGTTGGATGGATGGATCGTTTCTTACCTTCTACATCAAAGTTAATGCGCTCGCACTCATTGGACGAAGTGATGTCACATTTGTACAGTCCTCCAGTGATGTTGGCTGTCTGTTGTCCCAGGGCCCTGGCTCTAGGGGCCCCAATAAGAAGCCTGAAGAATAGAGAAAATAGTGAGACTGGTGTTCGCTGTTGGATGAAATGTGGCGCTGAAAGAAAGTCTCACGAGTCGTTTTGTTGGAGGTCACCGCTGCAGCCCCCTGTTGAATGTAGTTCATGTGTGTGAAAACGTGCAGATTGACAGACCTGTGGAAGAGAAAGTTATGCTGTCCAGCACAGCCTTAATCCGACTTTAGGCTAAGTAATGTGGCTGCTGTTGAACAGAAGTACTTCACTTTGTACTGCAGTGAACGTGTGAGGCAAACGTTTTTATGTAATGTCACTTGGTGAAACTGCCGTCTCTGTATTTATGAACTGGGAACAATGAAAGCATCCTGTTGGCATGGGGTTTGAGACGCACCTCATATACTGTAAAGTCAACATCCGTGCTGCGTTTCCACTGAGTTCATTCAACCCAAATGGAGAAGTCACCTTTCCTTCTGCATGTTTCCTGTCTGTTCCTACACTGACACGTTGGGGAAGAAGGCCAATTAGATACTGTAAGGAATGAGGAAGCCTACTGTGATGGTTGGTTAAACATGTCCCACTGGTCAGTGGACTCATGGTAGCCTAGCTGTGGTTCAAGGCCGTGACATCTGAGCATTTGTTGCATCTGTGAAATGTTTATCTGAAGTAGTAGTTTTAAAAGTACATATCAACGTGATGTCATGTAACAACCTGATGAACTGTGGTGTGCTGTGTGAAGTAGTGTATCAGCCAGGTTTTACTGCACTGTTCGCTTTTTGCCTTTTCACTAACAACTCCTCTGGGGCTTGTGTAAGTGTATAATTCTGTAAGACTCTTCATTATAGCAAGTATAGGATAGCAGTATTGTGTGCAACAGAAGCGTAGTTGGAAATGTTTGACTCAGATTTCTATCATTATGTAATTGTCAATGTCGTTCGCTGGCATTTTCTTCCATTTGGCTGACTGATCAGAAACAAAAACAAAGAAAACCCGAGATTGTGAGTCAAACGGAAAAACTGAAAATGTAATGATACAAGTGAATGTCACGTGATGCGATGGTAACACACGCTCGTCACGATGTGACGTCTTGCTGTAGTTAATGGTGATGAATGAATGAACTGAACTGAGGGGCTCTTCCTATACCAGCCTGCTGCACTTCCCGATTGTCCATTGTCCTGAAATGTGGTGCCGAACGTGCTGACTTGCATTCGTGACCTTTCACACACACAGTCATACACAAACTCCTACGAGAATGGCATGACTTGTGAGAGATGAGGAGACAAAACAAAAACCCAGTAGATTTCCTGTGGGTGGCAGCTGTGAAGGCCGAGTGTTTGGCAGAAAATCTCTGAATCAGGAAATTTCCTTCAGTTCTATTGTTGGACAAAGTAAGTCGTTCCCGAAGCGTCGGTCTGCGGTGGTGTTTAGGCTTCATTCGTGACTTAGTTTTGCATTACTTGTAAAACAGAAAAACAAGCAAACCCACATACGTACGCACAATAGGCATGTTATAATAATCACCAAATGTCAACGTCATTACGAAAGAAATGAAGTCAATGTGCATGTTAATGTAAAAAAGTGAAGAAGTACTTATGTTTTTGATCAATGTAGTGTGTTTACAATTTATATATATGTAGCTTGCTATCTGGTTAAGGGCCGCTGCACGTCTTGCAAACTCAGGCCAACCATGAAGCCTATTTGCATTGTAGAAACATCCATAAGGCCCAGGGAGGAAATCCTCTTCGTGCCTCACTCCTCCTGATGACATTTCAGTTCCTTCTGTCACCCACGTACTGTATGAGTGTATGAGAGAGCGCTGTGGCTCGTTATTCAGTGAACAAGGAGTTCTAAGGTGAGGCCAAAACAAAGGCCACTGTAATGCAAATACCAACAAAGACTTTTATAAAGGAGGCTTAGATTTGACATGCACCAAGTAGCAAGGCTCCCCTGGTGATGCTAACCAACTAACTAACTGAGTGGTGATTGGCCTGTAACGTAGCGTGACGTGTGTCGTAAAATGTTGTTTAAAGCAGTTAGTGGAAAAAAAAAAAGATCTTATACAAGTTAAGACAAAATGGTGAACCTAGCAGCAGTGTTTGTCAGGCGAGCAGCAGCTGTAGAATTCAGCAGGCAGCCGAGAGCTAACAGTGACGCCGACATGCTACACAGCAGCCCTAAACAAACAAGGTCTTCGGTTAAAGGTAGCTGCTCTGTGAGTTTTTGTAGCCTTATTCAAAATTTGGATCAATGTCAGTGATGTAATAGGTAGTTGCAGCTCTCTTAATGGCTAACATTGAGATATGTTAGGTAGTGGTCATTTATGGCTAGGTACCTCAGAGTTTTGGTGTTGTCCTTGACCAAGTTGTTGTAATGGAGAGGCCTTCATTATTATTTATGTATGTAGTACGAATAACTGTCAGCTTGTAGTTGGTGAGCTTGAAGCTGTGTCTCGTGTTGTTTGTGCTTTTCGTTGTTGTGGCTGACATTGTGATTTTAGGCTAGTTTTAGGTATAGTTTTGCTTTTGGAGAACTGCGGCAAAGTTGTTTAGGTCCACGTTTCAGCAGGTTTTCGTCGTAATCATTGTGTATCACTGAAGAATTCACATGCTCAGTGAATCCAGAGCGTCACTCGTCTGTATCTTTGAACTGTGTGATAGCTTCGGTTCTTGCCATCAAAATCCAGGACCCGCACGAGTGCAGTGTGAAACCACATCCCATGATGCCTTTCACTGCGGTGTAAATGTGAAGACTGCACACAGAGTGGTGTGGGTTTACACAGTGATCTCACTGCTGGTTGTGAACAGATGTGCTGCAGTCTTCCACAGCTGTGCAGTCAAAACCACTGCAGCTGTTCCAACTGTTTCAGTTTACACACACACACACACACACAGGCATGCGCGCAAACAGTAGTGCTGACCTGAGAGCGACTCCACGGTTGCACCTTACAGAATGAAAGAGTATTTACGACCAATCAGGATTGATGATTTCAGTTGAAAACATTAGAAGGTGATTCATGGATTTGCTGCTCAGGTCATTTGTAAAAATCTGTTTTCGAGTCAAAGTCAAAGTGTCCGATGTTGTTACTCTATCAGGTTACGGACGCACAGATGGCTCCACATGTTCTGTCAAACGCTCATTGTCTCTGGTTTCATCGTCCGCAAAGATGAAGTCGGCTCGGGATTCTTGGAAGTGACATCCAGACGCTTTTCAGCGCGATGTCACAGAGTGTCCAAGCATATGTTCCAATCTGGAAGGTTCTTTGTCTGTGCTCCTCAACAGTTCAGTTGTGGCCTGAGTTCACACAATGGAATCTGGTCACACACACACACACTTCTGCCTCGGTGTAAATGTTGGATAAAGTGCAGTGTTATGTGTTTGGCAGCCATGACAAAGATAATAATGTCATTCGTGTCTGTTACTGCAGCTGCTGCTCATCGTCATCTTCATCACGCAGCAAGTGTTGTGGGCTGAGAAGTGAACAGACAGATGCAGTGTGTGTGTGTGTGTGTGTGTGTGTGACACATGGCTGACTCCTGTCGTCCTGTTGTGGGCCCAGGCTGCTGCAGAGTTAGTGTGTTTCACAGTGTGGAGTCAGACTGGACACTTCATTACCTAATTCTGTGTGCTTCACTGAGCTGAGCTGAGCTGAGCTGAGCTGAGCTGGACCTGTCTGGCTTATTATCCCAGTGTCAGGGCTTCGGTTGTTGTTTGGAATTAAATCAGTTTAGCGTTAAATACAGTTGAAGGTTATGTGTGGACCGTGTAAAAAAGGTGCTGTACACCCAAAAAAAAAAAGTAAAAGTGAAATATCAATAAAAGTAAACATAGGAAAGACACAAAAAAGAAAAAAGAAAGTAAACAAAGTGCTTCAGTGTAGAACCAGTGAGAGAACACTGGAGTGAGTGGGGAATCAAACCCACACGCTGTAGCACTGATCCACAGATGCACTGACTGGACTGCAGTTGATGAATCATCGAAAGGGTTAATAAGTCAAGTGGTAATGTAGTCAATTAGATTATAGAAATGATGTCATGTGGTAGACATGGACACAGTCATATGTGGCCCACGTCGACTGTGGGCCAGAGATGAATCAGAACAATAGAAGTGATTAGGTTTATTGGTCACAGCACGGTAGAAGTTGGTGCTAAAGTTCTGCCTTTATGTATAAGTAGGTTCAGGTGTAGCCCACAGGGGCCACATGTGAAGAAGACAAATCTACACCTTCATCTGACTTTTATTGGCTGAAAAACAAACCTATCAGGTCGGTGTGAAAGTTCAGACCTGTGTTTGGACCACAAATGTTACAGTCCCTTTCATTCAGGACTTTCACTCGCTGTAGTCTTGGCACCGAATGGATCAATGTTCATGTGCTTTATGTGACATCAAGGTTCTCTCTGAAGAACAAAAGACCTTTTATCTTTGTTGCGGTGCCGTGACTCTGCTTCTGTGGAGCAGTCAGACCAGCAGGCGTAAACCCAAACAGAATTCCAGCAGTTCAGTTTTATCTGAGGAATCGTTTTAGTGGAATAAGTGTTTTTATCAGGGTTTGTTCAACAAGCTGCTGCAGGAACCTGTGTCTGCTGACCAGCCAATGAGATAGGGGGTTTTATCGCGAGGCCTTGGCCCGCGTGCAGGCTACGACATGCCACCCCCTGTCCTCACTGTAGCCCACAGCCCCTCACCCTTTGTGTGATTGAATGATCAGGATCTCCACACAGATCTTCTTTCCGTGGCCTCGGGCTGAGCCCAAAGAAATACTTCACTGTAACAGAAGTGTGGACATTGTTCAAATGCCACTGTTTACTTATGTTTTGGCACAAACACCAAGCTCCCAGGCCTTACAACACACATGAACACGCACGAGCTAAATGGGAAAAGGTTATAGCAGACGGCCCTCACGTTAGTGTGATTTCAGTGGATGCTGGAGTCTGATGTTAGCGAAAGGATAAAATGAGAAATGTTTGTGGCTCAGAAGTGGCAGAATGTTGTGGAGTGTGGTGAGTGGGCATTTACAGCAAGTATAACCAAATATTAGGCAAGGAGATGTTGTTGCTGTAAGAAATGATAGACAAGCATTAGACAACGGATTAACCAAAATAAATATGTAGGAGTTAGGGCAAAATACTGAGTATTAGCTTTAAAAAAAAGTATTGGTACAGGTGTGGAAAAAAAGGAAACTGTAAGAGCTGTGCAGTAATAGAACTGTAGCAAAGAGTTTGAGGAGACTGCAGGAAAAGTAAGCTTAAAATAATCCTTGAAATCACAGGATGTTGCCACGACAGTAGCTAAAGCTTCCCCTAGGATTTAGCTGGAGTAGCTCAGCGCTAGAAGAGAATAATAGTCAGCCACTGCAGTGATGAGTAAGACAGAAGGGTGCATTTACATGACAGTTCTGACCATTGTTTGTTTCTTGTCCTTCTTTAGACTGCCTCCTTTTTCATATTCATGGTGGAATGGCTGGGGGCCAGCCGAAGGCCGTTGAAGTGACGGGCAAAAGACCAAGCAACAAGCAGTGCCTTAGGAACAGGTAGAAGTTTCCTTCCCACCCAGTACATACGTAGAGGTTTGTATAACAGTGTTTCCTCAGACTAAGAGGAAATGAAAGCGATCAGAGAAGTCAGTTAAAGTGTATGTAAAGTGTAGTTTGTGACTGGAAAAAGAAAATAGAAAAGATTGTGACCAAACGCAGTCATGTGTTGTTTTCAAAAATATTGAGTTCATTGTGAGAAATGTGAGATAAATGTGAGAAACTGCGTTGTTGTACAGTAATAGTAATACGCAAGTCCTCGTAAATAGAGGAAAAGAAACCCTTGTAGGTGTGGGTTGTGAGTAATTGTGTAGTAAAGGCTAAAGTGAAAAGATGATAGTAAATGTGGAATAAGGAGAGTACAGGTGGGATAGTGACGTAGGTATTATAGGAAATCGGCCGTATTCACACGTAATAATGTTGTGTTCTATTTAGAATGAAAACATAGTGAATGTGTGCATTGTAAAGGTATTTAAAAAGTGGGGTCCATTTATAGGCGTATGTATGTGATTGTGTCGTATGTGGTCGGATACAGCAAGCAGCTCTGAAGTAGTGTTTCGGAGTTACACTGTACTTTGTCTTTTTACAGCGGTTGTAACAGCGGAGTTATCACTCACATTCTGTGGTCCGGGTGGAGCTGCCGGTGCAGGGCCAGAGAGAAGCCGAAGAGAGAGCCCGGTTCTCCGCTCTTTTTGAGCACATGACCGGTGTCCAAGTTAAAGGCGAGAACCGCAGAAGGCTGCAGGAGACAAGAGAGGAGCAGGAGAGCAGCGCAGACATGTGCATGGACAGAAAAGTGTCCTCCCGGCAGCGACGGCAGTAGCATCATGATGTAGTGGTCCAGACGTGTCCTCCAGGAGTCCGCAGTTGATGAAGGTTCTGCTGACCCTGCCGGTCTGCACTGTCCCGCACCGTTCACTGAGTAAAGTGAGAGAGAGTGGGACAGAGAGTGAGTGAGAGAGAGTGAGAGAGCGGAGAGCTTCCGCCGTGTGTTGTCTGTGCTGCCGCCGATGAGGATGCGGCTGCTCCAAAGCGACCCCTCTGTTCAAAAGGAGAAATTCACCCACAGAGTGAGAGGAAGGTGGATTTGAGGTAAGAGAAAGTTGCTGCCGAAGACGTTGGTAAGCTGGAATGTTGATGACGAAGTATATGTGATGGGGCAGTGAGAAGGCAGCAGGAGAAAGAGAAAAGAGTTGTGGGTTCATGTGAGTGAAATTGGGAAAGTATAAATAAAATAAAAATAGATTAGGTGTAAGTGGTACAAGACTTAAAGTTGTAATTTGAAGTTGAAGGCATGTTTATGTGAGAGGGGAAATGTGTAGCAGCAGTGGAGTGAGTAGAGTCTGAAATGTGTTGGAATGAAGGCGTGGTATGTCAAGACAAAATGTGTTACGTGTTAGAGAGAGAAAGTCATAAATGTTTGTGATGAAGTGTTACTCTGGGGAGAAAAGTTGAATGTGTGAAGTAGGAAAAGCGAAGCTGAAATAATGCTGGAACTGTGCATTGAAACTAGGAATTAGGGCAAAGTCTGTGTGTTTTGTCGTAGCAAAAAGGTGGTCAATGTCCCAACACTTACATGATGAAGTGATGCTGATGCGAAATATGAAGTAGAAGCATGTGGCCTAAAGGTATGACTTTATTCAGTTGAAAACCACAAGTGTTTCTGGCACATTATAATGTGACACTGTAATTGTAATGTCGGGGAGTTTGTTATTTGACGTACTGCAGTTGTAGACTGAACGCTTAGTATGTGAGAGTGCAAATGGATGAAAAAACCAACTGTAGAAGACAGCGAGATATGTAAGGGGGGAGGAAGGCAGCAGGTGAACAATGAATCAGGTGTCGGTCAGCTGGACAAGTACAGAGAGACCTGTGTGATTTTGAGTGAAGGAGATGAAATGCATGTGTTCTGTGAGTGGTCGAGGTGTGAGCCGAACTAAAGACAAACCAAAGAAATAAAGTACTGGATGGGATCAGTGTGTGTAGGCTGTGCAATTGGTCAGTCAATAAATAAAAAAGGGCTGTATTGAGGCAAATGTAGTGGAAATGGTGGCAGAATGTTAAGGTGTGAAAGGAACTGTGTAGAGCAGTGTTGGCAGACTGTTGTGTCGTTTGAAGATGCTGTGCCAAAACTCCCACTGTTCTTGAGCTAGGGAAGAAAAGCTGGTGTTGAGGTGGTTTCCAGTGGTAGCAGCCAGTCTGGATGTGTCATCATCCAGACCTGCAGGGAATGTGAAGCAGTGTCATTGTGAGCCGTGGTATGGGCTCATGTTTGATGTTGGTGTGAAGTGCGAGGCGGACGGGGCCACAATCGTACAACACAGGGCAGCACAGCGAAGGCATTGTTGAGGTACTTAGTGTGTGTGTCCGTCCCTGATGCTGTGGGCATGTGTGTCAGCAGGGCAGTGGCTGGTGGGGAGTGCGGCAGGGTGTCAGGCACATTTGTAATTGCAGCAAATGACCGGAGGAGGTCCTGAGTGTAAGATATGTGAATGGAATCTCTGTCGGCGTGGCTTCGGTGACAGATGCATCAGAAGACTGGGCAGTGATGTCACTTAGTTCTTCCAGCTGGAGTCAGTGTAAGATGCTCCATGTGTACTCTGTGGACAACAGTGTGTGTGTTGTGGATGAGTTGGGCCAGGAAAATAGCATTTGTGTGATGTGAGCTGTTGAAGTCAGGGAGTTACAGCAGTAGAAGTGAGTCATGATGGCGGGCTCTGCTGTGAAGTGGTGCTGGAGAGGATTGTGTGACAGCAGTGGTGACTACTGTTTTCAGTGCATATGTTTGCTTTTTAACCCAAGGACACAACATGCTTTACCTGAGAGTGCATGACACATCAACCACACAGGGATGAAGACTGGGAGTGTGGAACCACAGCATCTGGATCACAGACTTCATATTTAACCCATCACTGATTATGTCCACAGTCTGCCTGGTTTTGGACAAACCTATACAAACAAGGACATAAAGAACAAGGCAAGACCTTGGATTAGTGTCACGCTGTCACGGCAGGATACTAGACATGTCACATTTTATCATGAAACTATTTAATCCACTTGCACTACAAGGTAAATCTACGTCCTCAACATTTAAAACCAAAGTAAACATGTCTACGTCAACCCATGTCAGATAACAACAAACTACACATGCACATTAACGTCACAATTGTTCACACGTGTTTCTTTGCACGTCCAAGTGACGTCACTACAGCTTCAGTCGAGCCTTTCACTGTCTGCAGCCAATACTGCACACACATCTGACACATTCAAAGTCCTTACTATATTATCAACACAACTTTATCGATTACCAAAACCTAAGCTCATCGACTTATTACTTCTGAACATACATAGGCATGCACATAACCTTCTTGTAAACCCACATATTAACTCGTTTGTAACCGTCTTTCTCTACGTTTGTCGTTAGCCATTAGCTGCTAGCAGCGGAAACTACACAATTAACATTTCCGAACCTTTCGTGTAAACTCCACGCCACTTACAGCAAACAATTCTACATTATTCCATATGCCACTCACCTCAGCGTAACCTTTTCAGCTGCCGATAAAACCAGATGTCGTTTAACCTTGTTGGTACTCCATTGATTCAATCAGCTACAGGTGTGAGGGTCGCCCGTGTGTGACGTCATCCCATCAACTGACGAGCGCCGACTTAAATGGTTTCCATGGTTACCGTGACAACTTCCTGTGGAACAATGTGCTCAACCTGCTCGAACCTGCCCCCTGTGTTTTGTTCGGGTAACACCTGCTGCTGTTCCACTTCACTTCGCTTGGTTTCTGGGTCTGTCTTCAAATCAGGAATGTTACATAACTTTGCATTCGGCAGACCTTCAATTATTGTTGTTTAGCAATTACACAACAACGTATACACTTACCTTGGCATGTTGCTAAAACACGTATCAAGGAACCCGGCCTTGCGTTCACAGGAACACGTGTTTGTACAGAGAACTGCTGCCACTATATCAGCACTTCGTCTCCGAGTAAATGGAGCACAACGACCTGACCTGAGTCTCCGTCACCTTTTAACCCAGTAACCCTACTCAACGCCACACAATAACAACAATGGCGGACACTCAGTGCCATACTTGAGAAGCTAACTCTGCTATTTGGTGTGCTACAGTTAGCCATTCTGCGGACTCTACAGTGTTGACATTCTACATACCAATAACATTAGTAAAAACTACTTAAAAATGT